GGAACTAGATCCCACATGCTGCAAAGATTGAAGATCCCACGTGCCACAACCAAGACCCAGTGCAGCCAACTAAATAAATATTTAAAAAGCATCAACTTCACTGTGGTATAATTTACATACAATAAAATGTACCACTGTAAGTGTACAGGTCAATGAGTTTTGACCAGTGTGTGTTTGACCTATGCAACCATCACTACAATCAAGATATACAACATCTCCACCATCCCCAATATGTTCTGTCAGGCTTTCCCAGTGGTTCAGAGATAAAGAATCCGCCTGCATTACAGGAGATGCAAGAGACTGGGGTTTGATCTTCAGGTCGGGGAGATCCTTGGGAGGAGAAAATGGCAACCCACTCCAGTATTCTTGGAAAATCCCATGGACAGAGGAGACTGGCGGGTTACGTCCATAGGGTCACAAAGGGTCGGACAGGTCTGAGGTAATGAGCATAATATGTTCTGTCATGTTCCTTTGTAGTCAATTCCACCTCCTTCCCCAGTCACAGGCAATTAGGCAACCATTAACCTGCTTTCTGTCACTACAGATTGACTTTTCTAGAATTTCACATAAATGGAATCATACAGTATGTACCCTCTTGTGCCTGGCTTATTTACTCAGCAAAATGTTTTTTGAGATTTATCTTTGGTATTGTATCAGTTGTCCATTCTTGAGCAGAATTCTGTTGAACTATATTACTATGCATTGCTGAACAGGGTTCCATTCTGTGAATATACCATAATTGGCTTATCTATTCACTGGATTGTTTCCAACTTTTATTATGAATAAATCTTCTATGAACATCATGCATAAGTCTTTGTGGGGATGTACATTTTCACTTTTCTTGAATAAATACTTAGAAGTGAAACTGTTGAGTTGTATGATAAGTATAGGTTTAACATTATAAAAAATTGTTGAATTGTCTTCCAAAGTAGTTTTAACGTTTGACATTCCTGCCAGCAATATATGAGAGGTTCGGTTGCTCTTCATCATCAGTCTCTTAAATTTTAACAATTTGAGTGATTGTGTAGTGATATCTCACTGTGGTTTTGTGTTTCCCTAGTGACTAATCTTGTAGAACATTTTTTCAAGTTGCTCATAGACCATTATTTTCTTTAAATTATTTATTTTTTTATTTTTGGCTGCATCAGGCCTTTGTTGCTGCATAGGCTTTTTCTCTAGTTGTGATGAATGGGGGCCACTCTCTAATTGTGGTGGGTGGGCTTCTCATTGCAGTGGCTTCTCTTGTGGAGCTTCTGCTCTAGGCACGCAGGCTTCAGTACTTGTGGCACATGGGCTCAGTAGTTGTGGTGCTCAATAGGTGTGGGCTTAGTTGCTCCACGGCACATGGGATCTTCCTGGACCAGGGATGGAACCTGTGTGCCCTGCATTGGCAGGTGGATTCTTTCCCTTTGGACTAGCCCCATCTCATCTATCGCACCTTTTATAATAGGTTCTCTGTCAATACATGCTACCTTAGTTAGATGTCCCCCACACTGTCTCCTTGAGAAAGGCTTCTTTCTTTCTTACCAAATCTTGAATAGGTGGAATTCATCAAGGTCTTAGCAATCTGAGACTTCTCTCCTAGGAAATATGTTTTTCAGAGATTTTCAGAATATAGACAGCATCACAGTTTATTCTCTAAGGTCTCACTTTTTAGGACTCACAATTATCTGACCTCATCCCTGTAGGGAATGTGGAAAAAAATGTTTACATCCAGTCACTTCTGACAGCATCTTGGGATAGTCTATTTAAACACTCATAATTAATTTGGATAATTAGTATGCCAAGAAAAAGATTATTAGCGTTTTTCTTGGAGGCACTGTCATTGATGCTAGAAATAACATAATAATTACAGCTCTAGAGAGATGAGGTCAGGAAAACCAAACCTATAATAAAGGGGTTCAGATTTTCCCTCCCATGACAAATGTAGTGATCATTGGATTCAGCATCCCAGAACAGAAGTTACTTAGGTGAGTGGAGTTTTTATTTTGGACTTAGAAACTGCCTGGAAAAAAAAAAAGAAGTGAGTATTTGGAGATGAGAATCTACCCAAGATCTGGATAATAATTTCTTTTCATGAGAACATGCAAGAGTCCCTGAGAGAGACTGTGTGAAGGGCTGCTTTCTGATTATTGCAGAGAATATTCCTCTTATTCACTGCCTCCAAAGTCATATCACTTCTTTCCCTGCTTTAGTTCTATCCAAATTTTCACCTCTGTCTTCATTAATTCTGTCCTTTGATTAAAGTGTCTTAGTCTGAGATTCCCTAAGCACAGGAACAAGAAGAATTAAATGTATACAACATTAAAGTATTAAATTATTATAGTGCACAAACTATCTTATTCTGGTTTTAATATTTATTTATTTGGCTGCAGCATGTGAACTCTTAGCTGTGGCCTGTGGGCCCTATTTCCCTGACTAGGGATTGAACGTGGGCACCCTACACTGTGGTCAGGTGGAGTCTTAGCCACTGGACCCCAGGGAAGTCCCCACACTATCTTAAATCAATGTTTAGGCCTTGTTTCCACTGGACCTTGTCTGGATGAGACTGAATTGGGGAAACTCATTTATACTGAAAAGTTCTTTGAGTGCCCTGTATGAAGATTTTAAGACCTTGTCCAAATCTTTACTACAACTGGTGCACTAGGAAATTACATTGTTGTAGACTTTGATCTTCAAATTGAAATAATACAGCTTGGAATTAGTGCCGGATCCAATTACAGAAGGCATCTTTACCATCGAATATCCTCAGAGTTGGGTCTTCATTCCTAATAGCAAACTTGGGTCCAAGACTTGATTTCTGAGATGTGATATTGGTCCTACAATCAGACACCTGAAGTCCCTCTGAACCTCGGGTTAAATAAAACTGTAGGGAGGCATCTTCACACTTTTTGCTCAAATACAGAGCCCATTCAGGAGTTATAAATAGGAAACTACAATACTCTACAGCTATAATACTAACCAGCTACAATACTCTCTTGGTCAGTGACACCTCTGGTGTGTTTGGGTGTCTGTTTCTTGCTCTTTCTGATTTTTTTTTTTTTTGCCCTGAATTTTGTTTGCCTGTAAGATAGGGCTTCCCTGGTGGCTCAGTGGTGAAGAATCCACCTCCCAGTGCAGGAGACAGGAGTTCGATCCATGGGTTGGAAAGATCCCCTGGAGAAGGCAATGACAACCCACTCCAGTATTCTTGCTTGAAGAATCCCATGGACAGAGGAGCCTGGCAGGCTAAAGTCCATGGTGTGGAAAAAGAGTTGGACATGATTAGTGAGCACATGCTGAACTTATCTTGCTTGTTGAATTTCCTATTTATAATTTTTTTCGGAAACTTCTTTCTGAAGCATTGATATATTTAACTATTCTTCATTTGTACCACACAATTTTTTAAAAACCGCAGTATGAGATTGAAATTTTTTTATTTTTAAGTATTTATTTATTTGACTACACTGGGTCTTAGTTGAGGTGCATGGGATCTTAGATCTTTTAGTTGTGACAGGCAGGATTTAGTTCCCTGACCACTGATTGAACCTGGGCTCCCTGCATTAGGAGCATGGCATTTTAGTCACTAGACCACCAGGAAGTTCCCATACCACACACTTTAATTCCTGTGTTAGATTTTAAGAAATTGGGTAGGTCAATCCACTTCATCATCATTATTTTTCTTTTGTTATTTTTAAAGAATGACTTAGTTTTGTATGTTTGTTTGTTTGTGTGTTTAGTTAATTGATGTTGAATTGAATCTACACCTTTGAGGAAGTTTCAAATCTTGATGACGTATTATATTATCCCATCTAAGAACATGGAATTTAGTTCTGCTCATTCAAGATTTCTCTTATGTTATTTAATTTTTTTACTTTTATATTTCCAGTACATTATTGACATAGTTTACTCCTAAATTTTAAAGTGCTTATTCAAAGTATATTTTAAAATTTTTGCACATTTGTATAATATTTGAATAAATTACTAGTGTATTGCTTCTAAAATATTTCAGTTTTATAGCAGAGCAGTTTCCTCTCTGTGATCTATTTAAAGTCAGCCCTTGACACAGGGGTTTGTAAAGAAAAAAGAGAGAAAAAATAAAATTTAAAAAAAGAAGAGAGAAAAAAGGAATTAAGAAATTTCAGTTGGTTCTTTGAATGTAACACATAAAATAATCTATGTTTTGAAGAGTAAAAATTTTTTCCTGCCATTTTATTGAAAAAATTAGAAAAATATTGAATAGCTGTGTGCCTGGGGCTTCCTAGGTAGTGCAGCGGTAAAGAACCCATCTGCCAATGCAAAAGACACAGGTTCAATCCCTGGGTCAAGAAGATCCTCTTGAGTAGGAAATGGCAACCCACTCCAATATTCTTGCCTGGAAAATTCCACGGACAGAGGAGCCTGATGGGCTAGTCTATGGGGTCATGAAGAGTCAGACATGACTGAGCACACACAGTCATAGTAATGACTCCATTCATTGGTTTATTCATTTATTCATGTAATAGTTATTTATTGACTGCCTACTAGTGACAGATTGTTCTAGACCCTAGACGTGGGTGGAAAACGAGATAGACAAATCCCTACTTTAATAGCTCTCATGTTTCTATTGGAGGAAAGTGTCTTCCTTCGATAGAAATAAGGTAATCCAATGAAATGATTTCAGGTGTTATAAGTATTATGAGGGTTATACTGGGTGACTAAGAGAAACAAACTTTAGGGATATATTTTTTTTCCTTTTTTGGCCTCATATGCTGCAAAGTTTTTGGTAACTTAGTCCCCTGAGCAGTTTGAACCTGACCAGGGATTGAACCTGAGCCTAAGCACTGACTGGACTGCCAGCGAATTCCTCATGGATGGATCTTTATGCATGATATTAGAGTAGGATTTCCAGAAAGGAACTTTTAAAGGAATTCTGGTGGGAAATGTACTTCACTTGACTTGAAGAAATTCATATATGTGTTCTGTTTCTCCCCAGGTTCCATGTGTCTGAGCATAACCATCATATCCCAGCCAATGAAGAAATGATTTCTGTTGATGTGGCAATAGGTATGGTGATCCTCACTCAGGCTGGAATAGGGACTGTGGGGAATGTCTCACTCCTTTGTCATTGTATCTGCTCTCTTTTTAAGAGGCATGGATTGAGACCAATTGAGCAAATAATCAACCATCTTGCTTTAGCCAATACTTTGACCCTAATCTGTGGAGGAATCCCTCCAACATTGGCAGCCTTTGAGATGAAGTATTTCCTAAGTGACATCGGATGTAAACTTGTCTTTTATTTTCACAGAGTGGCCTGGGGAACTTCTCTCAGTGTCACCTGCCTTTTGGGTGGCTTTCAGGCCTTAAGTATTAACCCCCCAAACTCCAAGTGGGCAGAACTCAAATTCAGATCCCAGAAGTATATTACTACTCCATGTATCCTGAGCTGGATGTTTCACTTGCTGGTTAATGTCATAGTTCCCATGAGAATGACTGGACAGAAGAATGGCAGAAATGTCAGTGTGAAATCAAATCTTGGCCATTGCTCTTGTCTGTCCATTAACACAATTACAGAATCAATCTGTTCAGTTATTTTCTCCTCTGTTGATGTTGTTTGTTTGGGATTCATGATATGGGTCAGTGGATCCATGATACTTTTCCTTCACAGGCACAAACAGCAAGTCCAATACATTCACAGCACTAGGCAACCCTCCCCAACATCCCCTGGGACCAGAGCCACAAAATCTATCATGTTACTTGTGAGCGCTTTTGTCGTATTTTATTCTCTCTCTTCTGCCTTTGAGATGTATGCTTATCTTTTTGGCAATCCACAGTTGTGGCTTGTGAACACCAGTGTGCTCCTAGCATCCAGTTTTCCAACCCTCAGTCCCTTTTTGCTCTTAAAGAGTAACGCCCATGTCTCTAGCATCTGCTCTTCCTGCTGAGGAAGTTGTAGAACTTACTCAGTTGCTGACAGCATTATACTATTTTCATTCATCCATTTATTGTCTCATTCTATGAAGTACCTTCTCTGTATCATTCATGTTTTAGACACAGTAGTGGGCTGCTGCTGCTGCCGCTGCTGCGTCGCTTCAGTCCTGTCCGACTCTGTGAGACCCCACAGATGGCAATCCACCAGGCTCCTCCGTCCCTGGGATTCTCCAATAAGAATACTGGAGTGGGTTGCCATTCCTTCTCCACAATAGTGGGCAGCAAGGGTTTATGCTCCAATAAAGTCTGTAGGCGAATCTTGACATCAAACAATTATACAAATACTTATGTAATTTCAGATATACAGGTTTCTGCCACGAGGAGCTTGGGATAGTATGTTTCAGAATCTTGAATCTTGGAAGTCTTCCCTTTGCATCAGCAGTTTAGGCTATTTCCTGAATATTCTGGAGGATGTCGTCAGCCATAGAGGATGTTCTAGGCAAATGGAAAAGTATGTTGGAACACTATTTGCAAGAAGGAACACAGGACAGACAAAGAACAAAGACTTCCCTGATGGTCCACTGGTTAAGAATCCACCTTCCAATGCAGGAGATGTAGGCTGGATCCCTGGTTAGGGAACTAAGATCCCATATGTTGTTGTTGTCCGGTCACCAAGTCATGTCCCACTCTTTGCAACCCCATGGACAGCAGCATGCCAGGCTTCCCTGTCCTTCACTATCTCCCAGAGTTTGCTCAGATTCATGTCCATTGAGTCAGTGATACTATCTAACCATCTCATCCTCTGCCACCCCCTTCTTTTGCCTTCAATTTTTCCCAGGATCAGGGTCTTTTCCAGTGAGTCGGCTCTTCGCATCAGGTGGTCAGAGTATTGGAGCTGGAGCTTCAGCTTCAGCATCAGTCCTTCTAATGAATATTCAGGGTTTATTTCCTTTATTATTGACTGGTTTGATCTTGCAGTCCAAGGGACTCTCAAGAGTCTTCTCCAGCACTACAATTTAAAAGCATTCATTCTTCAGCACTCAGCTTTCTTTATGGTCCAGCTTTCACATCCATACATGACTACTGGAAAAACCATAGCTTTGACTATACAGACATTTGTCCCATATGCTTCAGGGCAACTAAGCCTGTGAGCCGCAACTATAGAGAAGGCCACACACCACAATGAAGACCTTGCTCTCTGCAACAAAAGATCCTGTGTGCTGCAACTAACACCTGATGCAGCCAAAAATAAATAAATAAATTTGTTGTTGTTTACTGGCTAAATAGTTTCTGACTCTGTGACCCCATGGACTATGGCCCACCAGGCTCCTCTATCCATTGCATTCTCTAGACAAGAATACTGGAGTGGGTTGCCTTTTTCTTCTCCAGGGTATCTTTCTGACCCAGTGATCGAATCCAAGTCTCTTGTGTCTCCTGCATTGGCAGGCATTGGCAGGGGTTTTCTTTACTGCTGAGCCACCAGGGAAGCCCCCCAAAATATATATATATATTTTTTTTTAAAAAGAACATACAAAGAACTGAAAGAAATTCCAAGTGCCTCATGTGCAAAGAACAAGAGAATTTGACATGAGCTGAAGTTATTGAGTTGGGGTCAGATAATAATTTCCCAGGCTTATAGATTATGTTAAGAACATGTACCATGGACCCAATAGGAATTTTAGGCTTTAATCAAGAAGATAAACAGATTAAAAATTTTTTTCTTATCAAGCAGAAAGAAGGCATTTAAGGAATTCTCCAGCTTGCCTCACAATTATAAGCATAGCTTACTGAATGGAGTAGGAGTAAATTTGGGAAAAAGAATGAGAAGACTTTTGAGATAATCCAGGTGAGAGAGGATGATGATTCTGATAAAGCTGATGAAAATCAACGTGCCGAAGGAGAATAGGGACTTTGCTGGGGTCCAGCCTCGGCAGGATCCAGGGGGTACCCTCAGGATGAACGGCATCGGCGAGAGAGAGAGAGAGAGAGAGAGAGAGAGAGAGAGAGAGAGAGAGAGAGAGAGAGAGAGAGAAGACACGTGAGACCAGCCTTGATAGGGCCAAGTCTGCGAGGGAGGGAGAGAGAGAGAAAGAGAGAGAGAGAGAGAGAATGACCAGATGGGGGTGTTTGCAGGTGAAGAAGGAATTCATAGGGCCAGGACTCCATCTCAGGCCTGTCTGTGCAGATCGTGCTCGGCCACCTCTCCAGTGGACTCTGAACTCTCTGCTTAGTGCCTGTGGGAACGACAATGGAAGAAGACCCCCTCCGGACAGGGGAATCTTGAAGATCACATCCAGGTAACACATTGCCTAAGAGGAAACATACCGTAATCACCCCTGTCTCCGGACAGGTCATAAATTTTTTCCTATCTATCGGGATGTAATCACAGGCTTATCAATTATTAACTGGTTGGAACGTGACCACAAGCTTATTGATTATTAACTGTTTGGAATTAACTGTGGGCTTATTGATTATTGACTGTTTGAACACATAACACGTGAATAATGGGGTTATTGTAGTTGTATTTACCCTTCCTTCCTTTATGTAAGTCTCAAGGGAATTGGGGTGGTGGGTTTGGACACGTACACATGGGGTATAAAAGATTTTCACAAATGCTGGTCTGGGTCCTTGGCTAAGAGGAGACTCTGCCTTGGGCCCGCCGGTTTAATAAACTGCACTCCACTATCTGCATTGTCCCTCTGAGTGAGTTTGTTTCCTGGAGAGTGTGGCTATAACACAGGGTCTGGCAGAGTCTGGCAATCCTTTATTTTTTACCATAGCTTTTATACCCTGTTAGTACATTTCTAAGGGGAAGATAGTTTAACTTTACCTCAGCTTGTCCTTCACAAAACCAGGGTGTTTTCTGCATACTTTTTTGTTTATGAGGGTCATGTACATTATCTTCTGGCCTTGGGGCCTGTTAACATTTTATGCAGGTCAGGTGAATGTAAACCTGTTTTCCATAATCTATTCTTTAATGAACACAAAGGTCAGTCCTTTAGCAGAAGTTATCAGTTAAATTTATCTAAAAGGTTTACCACACAAAGACTGCAGCTCCAGTGAGGCAGCCCCTGTTTAGCATTCCTGGTTAAAATTAACTATTCTAAACTCTTATTTTTCTAAATCTTTAACTATAACCACGTTTAGAATAATATTTTATGTTCTCTAATAGGGCTTCCTCACCCCCGAAGGGCTCTGTGCCTATTAGGGCCTTTTGTGTGATCAGGTTCTTTATGCTGTTTATGATTAAGGTGTTGTGAGCAGTCATGTGCACTAGTACGCATTTGCCAAGCAGGCTAGAATGCCAGCAAAGGGGTTTAAACTGAAACACTCCTTTCATCCTGGATAATCTTATAGGATACCACCATCCGGTGGACATATTAATTAAAGTTCTAAGTTGATTCTGTTTGGAAAGAGATCGGGGAAGGCCTTCTACCTGTGACATAGAAATTAGGGAGTAGTCTAATATAGCAAGCATTAGAAAGACAGAGAGCATCTTTAAGGTGAGCACCAGGGCAGCTTTTCGAAATCCCTGAAGTCCTGATCTGCCTTGCTTGTCAGGTCTTCTCCTCATGACCTTGTCATGGGTGGGATCTCATGTGCTGGCTCCTGGCAGGACTTGAGAAACGTTTCCTTAGAAGGAATGGAATTTGGTGACTGTGTCATAAGGGGTGGTTTAAGGCTGATGCGGGCATTGAAGCTCAATTCTCTTAAGACTTGAGCAACCGGATTGGTTGTGGTGGTGTTTCTTGATATTGAGAAGCCGGGGAATTTATAGTTTGGGTGTAAAGATAGTGTGCATTCCTTTTCGTACATGGAATGTGTTATGTCTCTAAGGCATCTGCATTATGCACACGTCTAGTCATAGATCACACACATGTGCATATGAGTAGGGCTGCCAACAACATATATTGGTGATAGAAGCTTTTGTTGTTGTTATTTAGTACTAGTGGTGTCTGACTCTTTGCAAGCTCATGGACTATAGCCCGCCAGGCTCCTCTCTCCATGGGATTTCCCAGGCAAGAATACTGGAGTGGGTTGCCATTTCCTACTCCAGGGGATCTTCTCGGATCGGGGGTTGAACTCACATCTCCTGCATTAGCAGGTGGATTCTTACCACTGAGCCACCCAGGAAGCCCAATAGGAGCTTAGATAGTGTTGAAATAAGAGAAAAGAAAAATTGAGGGTGGAGAGAATAGGCCTGAGACCTAGTAACCAGTGGGGCTTCCCTGGCAGCTCAGAATCTGCCTGTAATGTGGGAGATCTGGGTGTGATGCTTGGGTCAGGAAGATCCCCTGGAGAAGGGAATGACTACCCACTCCAGTATTCTTGCCTGGAGAATTCCATGGACAGAGGAGCCTGGAAGTTTACAGTCCATGCGGTCATGAAGAGGACAGGACTGAGCAGCTGACACACACACACACGCTAGTAACAAGTAAGCATCATTTAAAGATCAGGCACTTCCTGGTGGTCCGGAGTTAAGACACCGCCTATCCGTGCAGGGGCACAGGTTCCATCCCTGGTCAGAGAACTGAGGTCCCACCTGCTGCAGGGTGTGGCCAAAAATGAAAAAAAAGATAGATAGAGAAGGTGGAGCTACACTTTCAGTTCCTTCTTTCATTTATTCGTTCGTTTTACCCAGAACATTCAATGATTCCTTACTGTATGTCAGTCACTTTTATAGGTGATATTGGATATAGTAATAAATATGACAAGAAAAAATAACAGTCCTTATGGAATTTACATTCTACTGGAAGTGACTGAAAATGTTAAATAAACAGATAACAGTGGTTATCTGTGGTTAAGTGCTCTGTTGAAAAGTATTGGATAGGAGAGGGAGAAGGAATGCCCTGAATGATTCAGTTTTAAAAAATATTTATTTGCTTACTTGCTGGGTCTTATTTCAGCATGAGGGATCTTCAATCTTCATTACAGCATTCAAACTCTTAGTTGTGGCATGTGATCTAGTTCCCTATTGTTGAGTTGCTCAGTTGTGTCCGACTCTTTTCACCAG